AAACAAACACGCATCGCTTTAATTATGAAGAATATTTGGCTAAATAATGTGGCACCCACAGTAATGTTCTACACAGTTACTGTGAATGTTCAGAAAGCGGGTAGACTAGGCTATCAACGTCAATTGTTACTGAAATAATTTTTCTTTCTCAGATGCGTTTCATAATAATATGTCAGTTTAGTCGAAAACGATGATGAACTGTTTACGACAGTGTATCTGCAAGTTACATTACATTCATAAATAGTTAAACGCTCAATTGCTACAACCTACATTTTATAAACAACTACCAATACCCATGTTCATCACTACCGTAATTAGGGAGGTGGGTCATGTGTAAATAATTTTAGAACTCATTTCTGTCTTAAACTGATTTAGGTCTATTTTCGACTTGATACATGGAGAAATTGACTTGTTTGTGTTTGCATTGTTACAAATAACCAAATTAGGCTTACTAAACACTCACTCAGGTTGTGAGCAACAAATAGATTGGAAAAAACGCTATGTAACAAGCACAAACATTACGAAAATTGACGTGTAACGGAAAAAAATGCTGTTAATAACTGATAAATAACGACATCCGAAATCCTCGATAACATATCAATGTGAGCGAGAACCCATGGTATGACTTTTCAACCTCACCAAAATTCAGTCGATAAGAGCGTTATTTCCAGAGGTATGTCTATGATGAAGTTAAACAAAAATGGAGATAAAGAATAACCACGTCGGACACAAAGTGACGTTGTAAAATGAGACGACAGTTCGCCATAAGCTTGTAGTGACCGGCCAGTCTCGATAAGAACACGATTGGAATAACAGAAACAATTATTATTATTGTAACTAATTGTACCAGAGATTGTTTTACTGTATTTGTTTAACTGTATCAGATTCGCTTTTTGTTTCGGTGTCCGCCTTGTTTGGTTCGAACTTGCTCACGCACTGCCCATCTCGCCTGTACCCTTTGGCACGTCTCGGTATTATTTCGATACCACGAGATCACCAATAAATATACTTGATCTGGATTAATAAAGCCTTCTGATTTACGAGTTATCAAAGGAACCAAGTCGTTTGTGGGCGCTTAATCGAATAGTATTGGTGATCATAGTCTTCTCAACTCGACATCCACTACAAGCTCTCACTCGACTGATAGTGATCGAGTAAAGAGCCTTCACAAGGTTTATGTACTTTTGATGCACCTTTCAATGACAGACACTGTCACAGAACCTCTCGGTCTACAGAGTCAAATGCTGCTTTCAAGTCAATAAAAACTATCATCGTCGGACGCCGATAAGCATATCTGTGTTCCAAAACCTGACGAATAGTGAATATGTAGTCGATTTCTACCTCCTTACATCCTATAGAAATGAATGAGTTTTTGTCTCGTATTGAAAGGTGGTCTGTTGGTAATAGTCTCTTACTCAATCCATCTAAATGTCAAACTGTTAACTTTAGCTTGAGACATGGACAGAACCTATACTCTATTTTGGGATCCCATAATGCTTGTGCCATTGGAGACTCCTTAATAAACACAGTGTCGAAGGTCAAATATCTTGGTGTCATTCTTTCCTCTGATCTTTCTTGGTCTTCTAATGTTTTACTGTTATCGAAAAAAGTTTACCGTTTGACATACTACATAAAGAGGCTGCATGCTTTTGGGATTACTCGCCATTTACTCTTACAATTTGTAAATTCCTGAATATTACCTATTATTGTATATTGTTCTCCATTATTCTTTCCCGGGCTTTTGATAAAAGACTGCTGTTTTGCGTAGAGTGCTGAAGGCAGTTTGCAAGGTATGTGGTGAATCTTTCGAGGTCATTATTAATATGCTTGTGGATAGACATCTTAAGTCTTGCAAGCTCTTGGCAGGTGTTATCTTATCAGATACTAACCATCCGCTTCATTCATATCTTTCTCCTTGTATATCTTCTGGTAGAACGAGACGTAAATACATTAAAATCCATACACGCAAGCAAGTCTATGAAAGTTCTGTAATACCTTACCTAGAAAATTTACTTTGTGACGCACAGGCTGTTAGAGTTGACCTAGTAAATAACCTGTGTTCTTAAGCATGTCTCAAATTCGATAATTTGTATAAACTCAGACTTTCATAAACCTTTTTTTTTTAATTTCTGTTCTGTTTTTTTGTTTCTTTTTTAGAAAAAAACTTGTTGAAATAACTCGTGCTGAGAATTCTATATTGTACCAGATTATAATATTGAATAAAGCCATTAATAATAATAATACAGCCACGACCAGGTCTGAAGCCAGCCTGATTTTTTCGTGTTTGGTGTTCACGAGTCTTAGTTAGGCGCCCGATAATTATTGAGGCTAGTATTTTAGATGCTATATTAGTCAAAGTAATCCCTCTATGGTTATCACAGGATCATTTTGACCCCTTCTTATATATTTGGACAACCAGTGATTGTGACCAGTCACACGATCACCATTATCTGTTCGGTGAGCCGGAATAATAAAATACCCATCCAAATGTTTTTGTCGTTGGTTTAAGCTACCTAGCTGGGCATAAAAGTCACGCGCTACGACTACTATATCTGAGCGCTTAGCTTTATGAAGTTCGGAGAGCTTTCTGTAAAAGTCATCTTTCACTTCGTCCAGGCTACAGTCGGTGGGAGTGTAGGCAGAAACGACGAAAAGGCAACGACATGTGTTCCTATTCCCCCGAAGTCTTACGTGGCCATTGGGTAGAACAGTGCATAAGCGACTGTTAACGGAGATCCACTCTAGTAGCGCTTGTTCTGCCCTCGTACTAAGTGCTATGCCAACACCTGCTAGTCCACGAGAACTAGCCATGGAGTCGCCAGATACACGGTTCCCTGTTTTGACTAGGTGAGGTCGATTGAATGACCACTCTAGGATCCTATATGCGTGTTTCGGAGACACAGCATATATCAATGGAACGAGATTTTAGGGTTTTAGCCAATGAGGTCTTCTAGCCGATTTGACATAGGGTACGTTGAAAGCTCCAATGTGTAGTTTGGAGTGAGGTTTCAGTAGACCTGAGACAGTGTTTTGCGCACTAGAATTATTGGCCATGGTGACGCTTGAGGAGGAAACCGGAAGAAGAAGTTTAGTGTTGAAAGTCGAGGTAGGAGGAGATAGATTATGAATACATTGATCTTGAGTGCTGTTGGAGGTATGAGGGCAGTTATTACTTCCCGGCCGCCCACACTGTGGAAGTATTCTTCTGAAGGTACCTGGAAATGAAATGAGGTTAGAGGTGGTATAGTGACCTGAGAGCGTGACCGCAGTGCCCAAGGATCAACTGCTTGAGGTCGGTCACAGATGACCTTTTTTAATTTTCGTGTTAGCTTCGTACTTGTTAAGAACATACCGCTGAAGATTGATACCCGTGGGGTAAGGTGTGCATGTTCGGGGTCAACCTTTCCTAACCACACCTCTCCTTGTGTGAAGGCAGTATCCCTGTTGTCTGAAGGAAACACCCTACTACCCGTCTCACCTCTGTAAAGTCAGCATTACGACTTTGCCCTCGAACCTTGGGTTTTCTGTTTTTAGTCTTACCGCTCTTCCACCGACCTATTCGGCATGGTAGGACCTTGAGGAACGATTATTCCAGTCAGTATAACTCGATTGGTTCATCACGATAGGCAAGCCCGATCACCACGTCAAGGTAGCAGCAAAGGTCGGTTGCAACGTAAGTGGAGAGTTCTCTCCCTGGTTGAGGTATATATTCCAAATTTTCAGGCGACTTTTTGACAGATGTTGAGCCCGCTAACCCTACGAATTAAAACAGGATGGCGAACACGTATGCATGACAACAGTAACCAACACTACTGCTATTACCACTATTAATATTATCACCATAATTACTACCACTTCCCTCAGTACTGATAGTGTGAATACAATATTGTTTCGACCGGTTATTTTTGTTGGTTTCACCATGAATAATACAGTATTCTGATAATAGTTTTCCGATGTTAACACTTTAGAAACGAATGCCAATTTACAAATCATCCCATTTGTTTACATTTAAAATGAAGCAGGCAAATTTGTCAACCGAGTCCATTAAGGACTTCCGGATTACGAAAACATTGATCGACTCGCATTCATTTCCCATACACCTTGATACAAGGAATAAAAATAAATTTTCGAACTACTCACATGTGCTTTTGACTATTTTACCGGTAGATAATGTATAAGGGGTATCGTAGGTATCACTGTAGTGAGGAAGTAGGTCAATAATCTGTTAGCTTGTGTACGTTCGGTGTAGGAATATGTAAGTCCAAAAGCAACAATCCAATGAGTTCATGCTATTTCATGGAAAATATATTCGTATTGATGAAAGATCGATGTCAATTTAATTCACGATTTCAACATACAAAACCCGCTGTTTGAGTAGATAGTACTTAGATTCATAGACATACTCCAAAGCGGAAGCGCCAAGAAGACTTCAAGGACTAGCAGATGGTACTTACGCGTAAATAACTTCGGAGTAACAATTGTGTAAGTATTAAGATAGCCAATTTTCCATCGGCTTTTTATTGAGGATTAGAATGGAAGGCTTACCCTGTAGCAGATACGCAAACCAATCAGTTGAAAGCAAAAATCGAAATGAGTCGTGACCTATTCGTAAGGCATAAAAAATAAGAATGTTTTTAAGGGCTTTGTTGAACGGAATACCGGATGTGTCTGGTAGGTGACATATACCTCATCACACACTTAATAGTGCGCGGAAACCGAAAAATGCTCAGGTTTCGTATGATATTACCTCATTGTATAATGGTCTGATTTTTACACACATATGAAGGGGTGCCTTTGAACAGGTAAGATACTGAATGACATTGATGAGAAATCGAGTGTCTTCAAGTTAATTTACTTAGTTAAACTTAACTAGATCACCAACAGAAGTGTAGTCAATTTAAGCCAGTATTTAGCGCTACATACTTTTGTTTACCCTTCTATGGGAACATTAGGACTGTACATACACTCTAAATTAACTTCTTAACGGTATCCATAAAAATCGAGACCAAAATCAGCTATATTTGGGTAAAAAACAACAACGATAGAGTGAGGACAAAACATTATTTGACCTCCTCCGTAGAACACAAATCCATATAAATGCACACATATGCATTAGTATAAGTAAATAAGTAGGCGAACTAAATAAAAACTGGTGCAGTCAATTTAAGTTAAATATCTGAAGAAAGATTATATAATTTTTAACCTAAACCTGTAGACAACGGTAAACGTATATTATTCTTATGTGCATATAAAACCACTGTTTAAAACGCTAAATGCATTTAAAAAAGTCGTAAAATTGTACGCGTTTACATTTCTGCTTATGAAGTTCAATTCAATATATATTTTATATTAATTATTCGTAAAACTGCCGTAATTATTTAACGCCTCACAAATGAAGTTTACAGAGTGAATTTGAGACTGTCAATTGACAAAACACAGAAAGATAATATATATAAAGAGAAATATACTCAGATATGAAAACTTTTAAATAAAGCATATCTTCAAAAGCAGAATCAACAGGAAAAGTATAAAATTTTCTGTACAGCACAGAGTTTTGCTTAAAAGTGTGGGTTAAGACAAAAAATATTTCAAAACGTATGACTTATTTTGTATATACCTCTTATGATTTCATTGCAATTATACCAAAAATGGATCATTGGTAATGATACAAATGGATTATCAAAAGAAGCCAGGGATTTGAATCAGAAAAGAGTAAGATTACGGAGTTTGGATAGTGGTTGGATCACGATCGAAAAATCGTTTGAATGTAAAGTTTGGAAATGGTAATTGAGTATTGTTAGTCGATGAATAATCCAAACTATGATTGTTCCCACTACTATAAAGTGTACGTTCATCGTCAACTGGGTCAAAGTTGGATGTATCCAACTCATCACGAATCTAAAATCAAAAAAGTATGTATACATGTGTAATGAACAAAGGCTTGGGCAGGAGAAACAGTTGTAGTATACAAAATTGCACCGTCTTTGTAAAATATGGAAACAATGCATCAAATGCACTATTTGTACATCTTTCTTGGATTGTCTCTTACAAACTACATTGTTGTTTCATTCCTGTTGTCATTTCGGTGGTTTTCAGTTTCGCTTTTTCTTCTCTTCATCTTCCTCTTCTATTAGTAAGAATTCTACTTCCGATGCCTGATACATGCTACTTATATCGGTCCATATAAGAAGCACACAATACACTCGTCCCCCATTATTAAGCTGTCCTTGCGATCGTTCCGATCGCCGTACCGCTATCTTCTTTGTCGCTGTCTGTGACTCGCCCTCCCAATGCCATTGAAACCATCTTTTCAGTTTAGTGAAATTTACGCGCTTTTCTTTGGCTTCCTTCTAGATCGTGTAAACCATGCCACTTCGTGACAATGTGTGGTCCTTCCCATTTCGGGATAAGCTTCCCAGATCCTGGTCCCCTTCCTGCGGTGTATCTCCGTTCTCTACAATTTACCAGGCCACCCACTACGGAGGGCTTCCACTTCTTCCTCTCTTTCTGTTCCACCTTTTTGTAGTCTACTTCTGTTGCTGAGGTCAGCTGTTGATATGTATCGGTAGTCGCGGATGTTTACCGTAAATCAGCTGGAAAGGTGACTTCTTAGTTGTTCCTTGTACGGAGGAATGATGCGCCAGCAAAACTAATAGTACCTCTCCCCCAGTTCCCTTCTTTTACCATCTCTTTAACGTCCAGTTGTTCCTTTCTGTTAATCTGTTCGTCTATGGGTGATACGGTGTAGTTCCTATCCTCTTGACACCCAACTGCCCTAGACGGGTTTTAAATTCGTCATTCTCAAAACAGGGATCCTGATCGGTTTATATCATTTTTTGGTATTCTGTGACCCGCTACAATTTGCCGGATTACCACTTCAGTAGCTGTTCTTGGCCACTGACCTGCAATGGGAACGGTGTCTACCCAACATGTTGCATGTTTTGTTATATTTAGCAAGTAATAATTAATGCCCACCGTCTATGGAAACGGTCCCCTTTACGTCCACTGACTGCAGTAGAGGTTGTCTATTTTGATCACTTTTTGTTAGTTGGCACAGCTGGTAAGTGAATACATATTGTGGAATACCGTCTCTCATACCTGCTCAGTAAGCACTTTGTCGTAATAAATCCGTCGTTCTTGCGATACTCATGATTATCTTATACCGTAAGTCCTTCAAGATTACCACCACCCAATTCTCGTCATCATCCCACTAGGTCAGGGCTCTGTATACATTCATCCTTAGTCTTTCCTTCTGCCCACAAAATCGCAAAATACTCCTTTTAAACTGTTGAATACTTCTGTTCAGTGGGTGCAAGTACACGTTTCGCGTACTCCATCAGTTTGGCAGACTGAATTAAGACGGCATCTATACCATGATCACTTGCATCTGTGACTACTGAAAATGATGGCTTGGATTATGGCAGTCTCAGCGTCATCTAAAAGGTCTTTAATTCGGTCGAAAGTTTGTCGCGTCGCCTAGCGACTTATATAGAGGCGCCGTCATATCGTCGAAGTTCTTGACGAATCGAATTGGGTACGACAATATTCTTCATGGTTAGGATCTTTCCTGGCAGTAGTTTTATTTCTCCATTCCCCAATAAAGTGACGCGGTTTTCCGCTATCTGCGACTTATCCTTATTCTTCAATTAGCTTTTGGACCACCAACATGTTTTACATGATCTGATCCGTACGGCTGTACACAACCACATTGTCACCATACACCTGGACATTTTCTAGGTCACTGAACAGCAGCGTCATTAATCTTCTGAAGGTGAACGGTGCATCTGCCAAACGTACGGTAAATGCTGTCTTTTACTGGCAGCTGCCAATAACCTGACCGTAAATCCAATACTGTGGCGTTCTGTAGTCGATCTAATATTTCTGCTATTGTTGGCATTGAACATAGTGCCAGTTTTATGATGTTATTCAGTTCTCTAAAATCGACATAAAATCTACTTCCCATTTGGTTTCTTTACCGAGAAGACCGGAGAGTTGTATGGGCTGTCCGCTTCCACAATTATAACTTCTTCCAACATCTGAACTTATCGATTTACCCCAACCTCCAAATACACAAGAACACGTGTTGTAAGTATGGCACTCCATCGTCCTTTATTGGGATTTCATGCCTTATTTTATCACAAAATCGGTACGGCTCTTTGTCTCCCGTGAACAGCTTCGTATAGTTTGCGAGCAATTCGTTAGTATTCGGTTTCTTCATAGGGACGTCTGTTGTTACCGTTATCTCAGTCACTTGGCTACTTTCATGTAATGGGAATGAAACATACTTCGTGACCACCTTCCTGCTCAGTAATTCAATTATCCCTTTCACTTCTCTTAGGAAATTCGCTCCTAATATCGGTCTCGGTAGGCTTGTGGTTACCATGAAAGGGAAATTTATCTCACCAACAACTTTTAAGATGCTGTTAAACATTCCCAGAACCTCTAACATGTGGTCCTCAATGGTGTGGACAACTAGCGTACATGGCTTAATTCTCTTACATTGCTCTTTGTTTATTAATGATACTAGTGCTCCTGTATCGATCAGACACACCAACTCTCGTTTGTCTATTTCTACTATCACATAGACTCCCTCTCTATCTATTAATTTAACGACCCCAGTTCCATTAGATACAAAGAACACGAATTATATAGTCTAAAATCTCTGAGTTTTTGCCTTGTTAGGTAGTTTCTCTTCCAATAGCCTCTTCCACCACAAGCGTAACATTTATTATTCCCTGTTATTATTCATTCGCATTGCGTTAATCTCACGCTGCAGCTCCTCTATCTTCTCGACACTACTTATCTCTTGACTTTCGCACCCAACCGGAGCTACTGTTTGGGTCATCAACTGTCTGGTTACTTTTGCTGATTCGATGATATCTATTGCTTGTGCAACGGCTATTAATTTCAGCTGTTGAAAAATGGCAGCAGAACGCTCTCGATTATTTGCGAAGCCAGCAACTGTGTTTCTAATTCGTCATCCACATTCAGTAGTGCACGACGCAACAACCTGGCTAATTCCATTACCATAATCAGAGGGTCACTATCCACTGACAACTTCTCCGACCAGAACTTCTGCAGTGCCTCCTGTCTGTCCACTGGGCTGTCGAACTCTGTGATCGCCTTCTATGTTGTCTTCCTGTAGGCTCCCTTCAGGCTGTCACATACAACTTTCGTCCTGTCTCTCAGAAGCGTCCCGAGCACTACCGTCCTTGCTGTCTTCGGCTCCTTTACACCCATCAGCCCTGTGACAGCCTCAAACTCCCTCAGGAAGTTCAGAAAACCTCCTCCCTCAAACTCTCGCAGCCATTGAATTTTCTTCGTGAGTAGAGGCAGCGACATCAACTGTAGTGAACGAAAACTTGTTGGGAATGCAAATCATACATTAAGTAAATCATTTGCACAACTTTGAAATGTTTCTTACAAACTTCATCGTCCCTTCATTCCTGTTATTACTGTCATTGCTCTCTGGTTTGCTTTTTTTCTGTTCAATTAAATCTTCTGCTACCAGGCATTTCACTTCAAACCGCGACTACATACTACTTATATCTGTCGACAAAAGTGGCATACACCACACTACCATTGCCATAACAACGACTACTACTACTAATGCTACTACCATTATCAGTATTATTACTAATACTACTACTAGTAGTATTAATACCACAACTATGATAACGACTAAGACTGCGACTAATGCAATTATTACTACGATATATACTGATAGTACTATCAATGCTGATACTAAAACAACTAATATTGCTTCTCCCAGTTATACTACTACTACAACTACTACTACTACTACTACTACTAATGATAATAATAATAATAATAATAATAATAATAATAATCCTAGTACTACTTATACTAGCATAATCGCTGCTACTGCCAATTTCACAAAGGAATAAAACTTCAAGCTATTACTTACTGTTGGAACGTATGGGGGCGTTTGCTGAACAAGTTTATCCCATGCAACTGATTCAAAGAAAGGATGGGATTTTATTTTTACTGGATCAGATAGTCTGTCAGATGGATCTCGGAGGAGTTGACGTATAAGATTGCTTGCATCTTTTTTTAAACGTGGCTCACCGGGCAACTTAAGGTAATTATACCACTGGACAACACGAATTTGAGTATCTGCCGCTGTCTGCGCTAGGAAAGGAGGCTGTCCAACAAGCATTTCGTATAAAATCACCCCAACAGACCACCAGTCGCAGGCTTGGCCATAATCTATAAATTATATACAGTAGTAAGAATTGACTGACATATTGAATAGTATTACTAGAGTTATTCCAAATATTTGGTACATTGTTGAATTTTCTATTTAATATTTAATCATATTTAAAATAATAAATTTACCAGGAGATAAAGTAATCAACGATTATTATAACACTTAACAATTTACCTTGTCTGCGCAAAATTTCTGGTGCGATGTAATTCGGCGTTCCAACTAAAGATTGTGCACATCGACGATTAGCAAAACTATTCCTACGCCTTTCAAGTGTTTTGTCATGGTGTACTCCCCTTAACGCTGTGAATTGTTTACCATTGGTTTGACGGAAATTGTGCACTTGTTCCAGTACCCCAACCTCTTCCTTTTCTATAGTTGTAACATCGTCTTCATCACATTCTTTACAGCTTTTCGTGATCTGATCTTCAGTTAATTCGGTTGACTCAGGTGGTTCAGCTGTTTTAGCTCGATTTATCCTATTACGGCTGGGTGAGGTACAAGGTATATTGAAGTCTAAATCCCAATATTTGGAACTATGTGTCCAGCGAAAACCAGTACACAAACCGAAATCTGTTAATTTAATATGTCCTTCACGATTAATGAGAATGTTGTCCGGTTTGATATCTCTATTTATATGAAATATTAAAAAACAGATCAAGGATGTAAACCTATCCTGGAAAAAGGTGTGTGGAATACCCTACATAAAAGTGTGGTGTAAACTTTTTCACTAATCCTATAATCAAACTAGATAATAATAACAATGACGATGGTTGAACGTTAGTAGAATCAGTGGGATTTAAAAGATGTGTATGCTGCCAGATTGCCAAACGTATGAGAACAGTGATATCATGAGACAGTACGTTTGAATTACACATAACAATGACACTGAATTGTGATGGGGGTTAACAGAGACTCAGTAGAAGGAGTAGAATTTTGTTTAACAGCAGTACAGTTCTAACTGTTGTTGTTATCTCTTTAGGAAATTTAGTTGTTTCACTAATTAACTATGCGTAAGACAGCTCAGTAAATGTCTTCATTCTAATTAACACTTAGATATACCTTTAACAAAGCAGAAATTAACCGTTTATTATAAGAAAATCCCGCTGCGCTGAGCCTCACGAGCAATATCCATAGTCTTTAGTGTTCCTAGAACTCAATTGTCAGTTTTAACTACTAAACGTTGATTTCGTTTGTGTTTTTTAGTTGGATGATACAATCAAATAAAAAATATTTCGTCAACCACCTTACCTTCAGGTCTGTATACTCTAGGAGAATTGGAAAAGAAGTGTTATTTATACACATGAGAATAAGTCAACGTCTATCTAAGGATTAAATGGAACAGTATTACATTTGTAACGCAATAACAAGAAAAAAAACAGGAGTTCGTATGGAGAAGAACAATCAACGATGAACTCAAAAAAGATGCAAACGATTATAGGAAATTCATTAGTGGGTCCCGAAAGAACATCTACACTGGGGTGCAAGTACATCCAGCTGACCAGTCCCAAATAGGATGAAAAGGCATCTTGGATTCCACTGCTAGTCACCATCCATCTCTGCTAATAATAAGAAACGTGCTCATTTTATGATCTAGTAAAATGGAGTTTTATTTTATTTTTACACTTACCAAGTTGATAAAACAAATGTTTACAAGTATTCCTAACTCTCTGAATTGATGGGACAAGTTAATGATTGTGGAGACAATAATTTTTGTATGACTGTCAGATAAACAACACTGTACTAACGATGAATTACATTAAAAAACGGTAACTAAAAAGACTTGTGTATGAAATTCAGAAGTGCGATTACCCGATCATTCTGGGAATCTGATATGAGGGGATATTCAGTGGCCTAAAGTCCACAACGGTCTTTCTAACTTTTAATTCTTAAGGATTACTGTTTTCAGTTTAACAATTATCTAATTGGGATAACAGTCCAAAACCAAGAAAGCGGCTTTTTGAATACTATGATTGGTTAACCTATGAACGAATCCAACATAGGTTTTAAAATATTAACCAGATTAGCTAACGTGTCGAAATCACAAAAATGTAAATACACAGAAAATGGTCATTAGTGATCCATTAAAATGAAAGAATAGCTAAAGTTTCACTGTAACTAGTAACCCAAGTAGTCATTCGTAATGAAAGTAAACATAATTGCCAATAGAATTCAATGATCAGAACATTCTGACCGACTTTCAAAGGTTATTCGACTGTCAATTCATATTGAAGAATATTTTCTAATAAAAATTGTTTTAAATAGCTTCTCTTATACATTCAATCCCAAACTAACACTACCAATAGTATGGGAGGTTCAATTAAATACAAAACCACTAATGTTGAATGCACAGACATTATCTACTCATTTGACCACACTATTTCTATGAGCAAAACCAAAAGAAGTTAAAATACATTGTAGCTACAACAAAAATAATTAAGCAGTAAAATGTACTAACCGATGCACGAATCCCATAGCGTGAACACTCTGCAATGCTAATGTCAATTCAGCGATATAAAACCGTGCTAACGGTTCTTCGAAAATACCTTTCTTAATTAATAATGACATCATATCACCACCTATATGATCAAAACACGTTTAAAAGATAGGGAGAATCGGATAAATACTAAGGCTGACAATTTCTACTGGAAAATAAAAGCTATACATTAATGGATGGAATTTAGGTCCTTCCAAGAATAACTCATGGATGCTTTGGATGCAACCATTACATTATGTTTTGCGTAACTGAACTTTATTATTTTACATATGCTGAGCCGTGACAGTGCATATAACTAAGTATATTTATTTGAACATTACTGTACATTTCACACATGGTCAGATATACTAATCAGATTTTTGTTTTTTATCGAATTTGACAACAAAACTGTACATTCTATTCAAAAATAAGTTATAGCAGCTCACGTACAATTGAGTTTGTTCATGTTCAATTTGGTTAAGCCCTTTTGCTAACTTACTTAACGGACAGTCATTCGTACAATAACAATCTGTCTATACCATTGTACCTTTATTATGTACGCTTGAGCATGGTTTACTGTCTACGCACACATTCATTTTGCTAGCCTTACTATTAATTGTTTAATTGATTCGATAATTTATTCATTTCACCATGTATATATGTACATGTTAATCCTGTTCACTGACTTGCTTACTCGCTGACTCTAACACTCGTTCATTGACTCGATCACTCTCTCGCTCATTCAACTCTCACACTCATTCGCTTGCTTTACGGCACTACTCTTTCATGCTTGCTTAACATGCCTGTAATTTTGGATATATATGTGTGGTTCAATAACAAGCGTAATCAACACTTCGTATTCGCCTTCTCGTTTATACACCATTGGGGCGTTATTGAGTAACGGTTATCAGGACGAACAAATTACGAATTTTAAGGACAATATGGAATACGGAATACCACAAAGTCATACAGAAAAGTGATAGTCAATTGGTGGTGATATATCACAGACTGCTTTTGTGAGCGATCTCTATCCCTTCACTTCTGAGTTCTTTGATGGTCACTATTCTTAGTTTAACTAATAACTGCAGTTCTTTTTTTAAAGACTAGTAAGCGATCTAGTTCTCCAACAAAGGCAAATCAGTTATATTAATTTTATACAGAATCACTAGTAAAAAGAAACTTTCTGAAAACCATAACCAAAACCTAACACCGTTAAATATGGATAAGAAACAAAAGCGTATTCCGGATTTATTTGCCAGCCAAAACTAATTTGAAAGCAAGGAATAAAATATTTCGTTTTTACCCAACTGAGCAGTTGGATTACTAATAGTTACTTCACTAACTACAAATTTTGACATGAATTAGTCTGGATTCTCTAGTTTATCTACTGATAAACCAGTATTTATGATTTGTATGGTTCCAAGAGTCACTAATAGTGAAAAACAAACAAGGTGCAAGTGTGTTGCTACTGGTGACCTGCTAAACGTAGTGAAATTACCAACTAAACGATTACATAATCAAGCGAATAATTCATTTTATGTGGTTAGTTCTGGACATCGATCGATTACATCCGGTTATATTACCAGTTAAACAATATTTAAGGAGCCTTTGAGTGATTGCGATGCAAAATGGAAACGAATTAACAAAAATACAGACCCTTCGCTTGAAAATGGTAGAAAAAATATACTTATAGACTGAATTCATGAGTCGATCGAAGCACTGGACAGGAGCCCAGTGCTTCCAGGTTTTCCATGTTGGTGGTCTAGCTTCAATTGGCTTATGAATTCAACTATAAAATTACTAAAATCTCCATAAAACCCCTTCTGATACTTGTAGGCTTCGTCCACAACACACTGCTAACTGATATTGGAGACTTTATACCTATCAACTAAATTCCAGTAATATTTCCACACTTGGTGCAAAAACATGACACAATTCATTTCAAAGTTCATTTGGTGCACTTGGGTATTTAATAGCAATACATTGTTCATGAAATAAAAATACGAAAGAAACTGAGAAATACATTAAGAATAATTAACTGCTTACCAGGAATATACTCCATAACTAAATAAAGTGCTCGTGAGTCTTGGAATGAAAAAAACAATTTCACAACCCACTCATTATCTGCCTCAGCTAGAATATCTCTTTCAGCTTGTACATGAGCTAACTGTCGACGTTCTACAACATCTCTTTTATTTAATAACTTCATGGCATATAGTTGATTATTATCCTTTTTGCGTACAAGCCATACCTTGCCAAATGCTCCAACACCTTGAATTTTACAGAAAAATTGTGATAAATTATAATGGAATTTTCTGTTTTGATAAAAAAGTTTGAAAATGTATAGTTGTAAAAGCAGTTTCAAATTAGTATCTGGAAATATGTTTTTGTTTAACAGTGCAGCTTAAATTATCAAAGAAAGTAAATTTCCACAAGGTTTATTTCTGAGGTTTCTTAAAAGGTGTTTTCATCTAATGAATGTCTAATACACTGAATAATTGGTGTTAAACTAATTAGTTTGACTGAAGCAGTGAATTAACCAGTAAAAATCTCTTTAACATAGAACATGAGTATGACATACGAAACTATCGTGAAGTAGTTTAGCGAGCCTCTTTTCTGAGATATCTATAATTAAGCTTTTAAAGACACAAAAGGTTTTCTGATTCACTAATCGGTTTGTTTGTTATTCAAGTAGTGTAAGGTAAAAAATAAATTTTTATAAAGTGTATTGCTAATTCAACATGCAAACTTTATATATATATATATATATATATATATATATATATTTGATTTTGAATAACACGTATTTTCAAGATTAGATTTACTATACACATCACCCTAAACCGAAATACATCGAACTGAAGTCAGACCTTTAATCTATAAGTTGAAAGTCAACAGGTTAAACTAGTCAATTTCCCATCACTTTAGAGAAAAACTCGAATGATCATCATCATATTGATATACAACACAACAACAAGTGAATAACATTAATTTGAAGCTTATTTCTACGTATGCTATCAGGGTAAAATATTATAGAAAAAGTTTTAGAAGATACCAATAAACATAATCATATCGAAGTATATTTAAGAATTTCGCAAAATTGGCAAAGACTAGCGTAGCTGGATTTATTTTATTAACCAATAAAGTATTTTCCTTGCTTAATAATAATTGGCAGCAGCATATGCGGAGTTAATACATTAAGGATTGAAAAGGGTGCCGAATAAGTGATGTCATGAATTGAAACAAGTTGGAAAATATAAGCTATTCATTTACTTAGTTATACAGTGATTGCTAGGAAATTCTAAGGTTTCGAGTTTGGTTTTGTGTGTATGTTGATGAAAAGTTGTGAACTATGTTGTAATATCTGCCATGTATCTTCTATATTTAGATGGTTCGCCAACTGATCTCAGTCCGTAGTGGAAAATATTTCAAGATCAACAAACGCAGTGACATACAATTGAATTATTGACAAACTGATAGCATCAAATGATAAATGATGCAAAGGTTTTTTTTATAGAAAACTATTTTGAATAAGTTTAATTCATAAGATAAGTCGACAAAATAAGTCTGACAGAAGTTTGAACTCAATAGACAAATCATAAACTTTTAAGAACAACAATAGGCTTAAATAAGTAACAATCAGTAAGGAGCAAGACAAAATTAGTAATTTAACTTCTCATCATTGAAAAGAGTATTCTTCATTAATATATTTTTGTTTTAATTTAATTTCTTATCAATTTGATTATTAATCGTGTAGACCTGTCTTATTGGTTTAAACTACTAGACTATACATCCAAATCCGCCTATATTACATTCAAAATATAGCCGATAGAAACAAAAGAAATAGTATAAATATCGATTACTCAATACAAAAATAATTAGCTAACCTCAACCAAATATTATTTTAATTAAATGATCAACAACTTTGTATTGTCAGAAGGGATTTTTGTGGAGATTTAGTATTTTCATAGTTGAAAGCGTGAGTCAATTGAAGCTAGACCACCAGGGAAAACCTGGAAGCACTGGACGGCCGTTTCGTCCTATTGTGGGACTCCTCAGCAGTGCGCATCCACGATCTCGCCTCGCGAGATTCCAACCCAGGACCTACCAGTCTCGCGCTAGAGCACTTAACCGATAGACCACTGAGCTGGCCGTCCAGTGCTTCCAGGTTGTCCCTGGTGGTCTAGCTTCAATTGACTCACGCTTTCAACTTCGTATTGACCTACAAATATAAATTAGTTGTAGTTACATTGATTCGATTAGCAGAACTCCACTCACAGTTTTCCGTTTCGCTTAGTTTAGTCGAGAGAGAAAAACGTTAGGCCTGAATCGGCAAGCAAATCATATTACAAAATAAGGCTCAATGTTAAATTTCTAGAAAATGCAAGTAATGATAACGAAATCAGAATAATTGAGGACGGGAAAGGAATCAACGACTTTTTGTTGATTGAAAAGATGAAAATAGTAAGTATTATAGAAAATAAAGAAAAGAGATAAATCTACAAATCATGGGGTTGAACTGTAAGAGGATAAAATAAATATTGGATTCTGGCATATCTAGTATTGCTGAATAAAACATCACCATTTCATTTCACCTCCTTATGTTGTACTGTGAATTTAAAAACATGATGTTTCAGCAGTTATCGTATGAATTAGTCTGTAATTATTAAAATATATAAACTATTGGAATTAAAGTTGAGTTTTATAACTCCGTAAAAGATGCTCTCAAATATCACGCCAAAGTAACAAACAGGTCAGCGAACGTGATTGAATGTCCACGAGAAGACATGTAGCTATATTTTATAAGCTGTGCTGTATCAGCTTAGACAACAGAATTACAAAACTTTTCTGAGTAACATGATGCTAATTAAATTATCATTGCCAAGAACTAGAATGAACAACATGAACCTCCGCACACAACATTTTAAAACTATAGGATTTTTTCCTAAAGGTTTACCTTTAGATATGACAGGTCATTTTGATGCAATAATTGAGTAACTCGATCACTTAAAACGATGCAATCAATGAACACATTACATTACAGTGCTATATCCAAGATATCATAGACAAGCAGTTTTCATGATTTAAAACAAACTGAGTAGGAAATATATCTTTCACGAATGTAAAAACCATATCTTTGCGCTGTCATTACCGCATTTGTTATAGTATTCATGCCACTTACAAGTAGCTTATGTACTTATCGTAAATTTTCACATAATAAACAAATCTCTTGTGACATGTTCATCGAGATTTCACAAAACATGAAGTGAGGAAAAGAAATAAGCGATCCACATAACCTTTTTAAGGTGTCAGGAACAGTATGGTATTTGTAGAAAATGGTGAACCTTTTGGTGTTCATCATACCAATATTTCGATATTCATAAATGCTTTTTGCAGACGTGTTTGATGGAGTGAGACCATACGATCGTTCCTCTGCCATTAAAAGTTACGGGATTTTATTTGAACTATCAATTGATGAACTGAGTTACAATATTCCCAATATTTATCGACCTTTGACGCGTGAAGAATTGTGTGACATCATCTCCATTTACATGTAATAACAGCCATAGTTAATCATATCGATTTGGGTAATATTCAAGGTCGCCAGTCAGGCTACAAAATATTATGTGTAAGACTCACAATTAAAAAGTTTCGTCACATACTTTTGTAAAAGAGCCTTTCTGAACCGAGCATAGGTAACTACTGTCTTAAATAAACTATGTCTTGGATTACCGTACACAGTGGTAACACTGTATAAGTAATGCTTAAGTCCAGTAATGTAATTTATGGCATTGTGGAGTTCATTATTAAGTGCTTTCATTTGAGACCATCAACTTCCAAGGCTTGAAACACGTACTACGCATATTGTCCAAGTGGTTTCCTCACCAAACATTGTTTTTTGACATTTGAGCTGAGTGGAAAAGTAGGGAAAGATTAGTTTATGAAATAACCCTACAAAATGAAAAATAACTGCTTTAGGCGATGATTTACTAGTACATCAGTATTCTGTAATGAGGTACTGAAGTAGCTTGGTAAGTTATCGGACAAGATTAATTACATAATATACAGTACAACTCTTGTGTTTTCAAGTCGTGCTCTTCAAAACAGTAAAACATCGAATCTAGTAAGACTTCATTGAGAGTATGAAAACGTCATGGATATACTCAAGGAAGAAATAGCTAGGTAACTGATAGAGGATGAAAGGCATTTTCATCTCAATGTACCAAATACGAGTGTCACCTTGGCAAAAGACTTGGAGTACTCACAATTCTCGGTGAACTTCTATCTGAATTAGCTGTTACATTGGCCAGAGATCTTTATTTTACTTACTTTTGTTTAGTTTTATCATGGATATCTTTTTAGTAACGTTATCTAATGACTCGTATCGACTTGAGATAATTTTTCTGGTGAAAAAGATGATTACCTTGCTTAAAAAGTGGTAACAATATTCAGGATTCCCATAACTTCTATTAAAGTGAAGGCTTTTCTTAAAGACTGGTCTATTTTAATCTTTATTTCCAAAATAGAGACTGAAGAAGTTAAGGCCATGAACCACTTCGTTTATTCCGAAAATCCCATAGGTCCTGATGGGTTGTTTGACGACAAATTCCGACATACATAAAGCCTATCCCGACTTTGGTAACTTAAACTGCCCGTGAAGCGAGTAAGATATCCACCTACGTATAAAAATGTAAAAGTTTTCTTCTTTTACTTAACGACTGTAAGACAAGACACTCGAAAATAAGAAACGTGTGTACTTTGGTAGTAAGCGCTTGTGTACTTAGTATTCTTTAAATAAAGAGCGATCAAAAATTGAGTAGTGTTGATATTAAGCAGAATTTATCAGGTAAAAGTGGTGAATAGGTTGACTAATTTATGGTTAGGGGATGTGACACAAACTCAAGCACAGCCACAATGGATGCTGCGTTTGCTAGCACCAGTGAGACATGAAAGTGTTCATAGGTGGTCAGAACAATATACTAAGTTAATCTGTGAAGTTCTTGACTGCTAATTTAAGATGCATTAAGAGATACAGGCTTTTTACTTGACGTAAACATAAAGCATAATCTATAGTAAGAGAATATGAGAAGCATCGCTAAAATGATTACATGTTATCATCGGCATCTAAAAAATTTTTATCGTGCCCGAAATCCTAAACATAGCACTATTTCACACTAAACTTCCTGAATTCATTCGTTGCGTTTAGTATATTTCTCTCCTAAACTTTACTTTCCTACTTTCGCCGATATAAGTATTTCCATCTTTATGCT